CCTTGATTACAGGCATGTAGGCTTATATTCTCAACATGTAGATTTGCACCATAAAGATGTTATTGAGAAGCTTTTGCTCGTCGGACGGGATAAAACAGAATACACAATATCTGACCACTGTTTGCACATTCGCTCGTGTCTTCTTCGAACTTGAGCTTTGGAACTTCTTTTGAACTAGCAAAACAATGTGCTTAACATAGGTTGGCGCTGACGGTGCTTTTCGGCAATCTAGACCTCATTGGGGATGATATCAGCTCTTGTGATCTAACCAAACTGGAAACAACTGGATAAAGCGTCATGTACCGCTAGGTACCCCTCGAGTTCTGGACACGACAGACAAAGATCTTTGTCGTATGGGTAGGTCATGCTAAATCAGTCGTCTTTTTTAGCTTGCAAATAAATCGCAACAAATTGATTCTAACACCACATTATGTACACGTTTGGATGACTTTAGGATAGGGCATGCTGCATGGAACGACTAAGCTTTAAGGTTCCAGCTGCCCATCCGTTCCATGCGGCCCATGCGATGATCACGTGTCCCATTCATATCCATCCTGCCCGAACCGGCTTTCTTACCCATCTGCGTCTGTGAAACAAAGGAGATAAATATTTACTGCTGACGACAGGGATGCACTCTTCAGCCGGGCCCCTGCAGCTCGCAAACAGGGAGAAAACAGGGAAGACAGCGTGCCGCCACTAACTGAACAGATCGCATGCCGTCGGCGTCGACCCTGCTCCCGACGACACCGACGAGGACTAGATCAACAACCTGTGACAATCCAACGAGGCGGCAGACGGTCTCTGTTGGCGGCTGACAACAGCCCGTTATTCTCGGTTGTCACAGCTTCGGCGCTGGCTAACGCAGTACAGGCTGACGTGCGGTGCCGTCATTGTGCGCCGACAGATTGACGCGCGGCGCCGACATTGTGCGCCGACAGATTGACGCGCGGCGCCGACATTGTGCGCCGACAGATTGCACGTGCGACACGTGACACGATCAGGAGAGACCAACGAGGGTGGTGCCACCGCATGTTTGGCTTTGGCCGTGCATCAAGTGAAGCTTTGCGTGTTGGCTGACGTGTCGCTGTGTCATATCATAATCGAGGCGAGCGCGCCGACAGCCAGTCTTTCAGAGGTGTCACTGACATAGCATGACAATCTTTCAGAGGGAAAAGAAGATACTTTTCGTCTGCCTGGAAAAAAGTGAGTGGCAATAACCTGGGTGCAAACCCATGAAACATGGTCACATCTACGACGCAAAAGGAAGGAACGCACGCACATATCGCAGGCAGCCGGGCCACAAATTCAGTTACAAATGCCCCATCTCCCTATACAAATGTTCAATTACAGATGCCCCATACAAACGCCCCATCGTTTAACAAATATACACACAGAACAAAACTCAGGCCATAGTTTGGATCAGCTGGTTGGCACTTTTTACATTTTTCCAGACGCGGAAGGTTTATGCTTTCCGCATGACGGAAGCAGATTTTGTTCAAGGTGATATCTAGCGAGCTATGGTAACGTTGACCAAATATATGTATACTCATGCTACTTGGAATAGGTACCGGCTTAGCTGGGAAACAACCATTTAGCGAATACGGGCCGGCCCTCTAGCTTGCGTCAGAAACTCCGCAGCATCAAGGCTATTTAGCTCACTGTTGATTAGTTTGTGCGTTCCATCTCCGTGTTGGCAACGAAACCGACGGCACCAGCCAATATTTTAGCAGCCATCTACGAAGCTATTGGCCCATTAATCGAAGTCAAAACTTGAACGATGAAAGTTTCCGACATAGGGCTGCAGATCTTCAACATTTTGCACCCTATAAAGACACCCATCGCGAACACGATCGGCGTTTCAGCAGAGCACGCAACGCGCTCGTCGCCGTTCGCAGTAGGGGTTAGACGAGCTCGTTAACACGGAGCCTCCCGAGCTACGACCGTAAACGCGCTGTCGCCGTGGCTCGCCGCCGAACCGTGCGTTCCTGGGTGAGAGGGGCGTATTTTTGGCGTCGGCCTGCCTGACCGAGCTGGGATCGGCACCCCGCCGCCGCCGCCAAACATAACAGGTGCCGATACAACGGCAGCCCCAACGGCGGGCGCCCGGAATACCCGAGCCGCGGGCGACGCCGGTCACGTGGTCTGCCGCCGGTCAAAGGTCAGCGGGCGGTCCGTGTCATCTTACAGGGTGCCGCCGGGGGGTCAGCAGCACTGCTGCACTGGGGTGTGCCGCTAAACGCGACATGCTGGACAGGGCGGGGGTCAGTCGCGTCCCAAACGTGCCGTGGTCGTGAGTAGTGCGATCATGGTAAGGCAAATCCCCCCCCCCCCCTCCCAGCCTCCCTGCCCCTCACTTCCCGGACCTTTTACCCGGCATCGGATGGCATTCCTCTGGCCAGTTGCCCACTGACTGTCTTATTGGTCAGCTGGCAGTGTTGTACTTGAAAACGATAAGAGTCACAAGGAGCAATCAATCTTACATACATTATATTTGTGCTTATCACAGAATTGTTTTAGTGGCTGGAATTTCTGAACCGAGGTTTCAGTGGAAGATGTCTTCTACATGACCTGATGGGCGCAGTCCAGTCGTTGGTTCGTCATGATGTCAAGCCAGCAGCGGTCGTTCCAATGTCCGTTCAAACCGGTGAGGCAAACGGTATCTCTGAAAGTCCTGACTTGCAGAGTAACTCCATCTGCGACCTTTAAGGTATTTCTCAGTGCGTACCAGCGAGAAAACCCGGTTGTTTTACGCCCCGTCTGACTCAAATTCTGACGGTGAATGCATAATCAATACTGCTAGACCCATGCTAGCTAGCGAGAGCACACTTATCAACGTTTCGCTTGAAAGTTGCGGTTTCGTATTTCATGCCGACTTCTATCAGGCAGCTGTCGCCCATTAAACACACATCCCATTTACGTGAGTCGACTAAACTGATGACTTTGCGACGATTAGAAAAAAGACGCAGTTTCTGCACATGCAAACGGGTTTCAGCGACGCCGCGAGGGCCACACATCATATCGTAAATCTGCGATGGCGGAAGGGGGGATTTACGATTCGCGTAAATCTTGCACAAATACCCAAATGTACCGCTTGCCTCTTTTAGGTTCTTTGAGAAATTTGCTAAATGCTGATATAAATAAATTAAAAAAGGCAAAGAAGCTCTCTGAAGTAAGGGAAATCCATTTAACCAGCTACATTTTTTAAGCACAATTATTTTTAGATAAAGCTGCGTTTCGTAAATTGTGCATGTCCGTCCGATCGTTTCTTTCCGTCGCCCCGTCACAGGTTCCGGTGTTGCGCGTCAAGATTGCGAAGGTGCTGTGCTGTCAGCGTGGGCGTTTCATGCGTCTTTTTTATCTGTGACATTGGCTATTGTCGTTACCCGCCTGTGTAAAGGTGCTTTATCGAAATGATAAAACATGCGCCATCGTACGCTGCAAGAAGAGCGTCTGGCGTATGGCATCTCCTTAGCTGGCGATGGTATGAGACCCTCTGCCACCTCCGCTCTTCCTATTAATGGCGTGAGCAGCTCTTTGGCATTCCAACAGATGTTTGGCACACAATCATACTAAAAGCACGGCTTGAGCCAAACATTATTCCGCCGCTCCATCCATCTTCGTGTCTCCTACTGTCTGTTACCTGCCTGTTTCTGAGCGCAAAGTGCTCGCTTTCAGTTGTGGTTCAGTACCCTGTTTTCGTGACACTTGCGCCAGAAATGCAATTATAACGCAAAAAATCGCACATTTGCAGGCTAACGCGCCGGGCGATTATCGCAAATTTACGATTTATTCTGCGATTAGCTTATGTAAGCGTGTCGAGTTATCGTCACTTTCGCGAACGATTCGAATCGCAAATTCGCGATTGTTCACCGACTCCTGTAAAAAGGGTACATTCCGTTCTGAAGGTATGTCCTGTGTTCCGCGCTGTCACATTACGGAGGCCACGCTCTGCCCGCAGCAGTGTCTTTGTCAGGGGTCACGTCGTGTGTACAGATGTGCTCCCTTCTAAAGACGCCCTTTTTATACATGGCGGCGCGGAAGCCATCAAGCCAAGTGACTGGTGGTGCCTTCCTGGAAAAGTAAAGATGAGCCGCAAATCCTACCCATGCAGGAATTTGCATCTCCACTGACCTAGCACGACCCTTAACGTACTTTTCGCACTGGTTTACGAATGGCTGACTACAAACTATTATTAACGCGGTGTCAACTTCGCGCTGAGCATGAGTTTGATGTCTTAAGAAGTGTTCCCTTCCAGAGACCATGCCTCCATCTTCCAGTTGTTCTCTTCCACAAACCACTCTGCGTCTTGGGCATTTTCTTTTTCAGAGACCACATCATGTGTATGCGCCACCCGCGTACGCTGCAATGGTTACCAGGTGGCGTGGCAATGTACCAGTAGGGCCTAAGAACTTATAAAAAATTTCGGTGCTCTCCCCAATTGCACTGCCAGGCACACGCAATCGGTTTGATTTGATTGTTTGAATTAGAGCCCTTTCGACCAGAAATGATCATTTCAGGGCTATGAAATGAAGGAAAATGGTTAACGGTTGGGCAGACTTGCATGCGCCTGGGGGGCCAATCACCGAGCTTTAGGCCGCGCATGCGCCCTGGGTACCCGGTCGGGGTCCCCTCCCAATGAGGCTCTCGGCCCACTCGTGGATGACGCATGCAGCCTGCCCCGGACAAGCGGGGTGTCGCCAGGATGCAGGATGAGGCAAGACAGAGGATAAGAGGGTCGGATCAAGACGCCGTCGGACTTCCAACAACGTTAACGCATGGAGTGGGTGAGGCCGGGATCGACTCTCCGTGGTCTAGCGGTAGGAATGCACATACTATCGCAAAGTCACGTCCATCACCTGTGACGGGAATGTACATAACTTTTCGTGGCGCACTGTCATGCCATAGCACCCTTTTCTGAACCAGCGGACCGCCGCACCCAGCACCGCCGTCTGGGTTTTCACAACCCAACTAACAGAGAAGGCTGCATCTCCGGTACGTACCAAGAAGGAGTAGAGCCCGTCTGGTATCGGCTGTCCGCCAAACTTGATGTCCATGGTGTATTCTCCGGCGTCATTGACCTTGAAGTATATCTTGAACGTGCCGTCCCCGCAGTCCTCGATGTCAAGGTCAATATCACTGTGAAGCGCAGAACATATACAAATAATTGGTGAATGTCTGCCAGTGACATCCAGTGTTAAATGTTAGAGTCTGCTAGAGTCTGCCGAAAATAACCCCAGCCATGTCTTCGCAGCCGGTTTTTTTTTTGGTAAAGCTACACTCTGTGTTTCTATAAGCACCTCAACCCGGTTTGCGATCTTTTTCCATATTATACGATTTCTTACATTGCAGCACGGTCCAAAATACGGAGTAGTCCATTTCAAATGTCAATTTTGAAACTGTAATTAAGAATGCTAACAAAGGCAAGCACGCGCTGTCGGCAAAATGCTATTGAAAACTGTTGGACATTTGGATTCAGCCCCCACCCAAGCACGTCCGAAGCACACCGCTCCATGGAGTACTTTTCCTTCTAGTCCTTAGTGTCTCGTGTTAAAGGTCCGCTCTTGGCTCAGCTGTAAACCGAGTTATACCAGGCCATTTCGATGAACCCGGCACGAAAACAAACATTGCTTCATTAGCTTACGTCGATTCATCGACTTTTTGGTCTCGAGAAACCGAACTATCACGGCATACCGGGTCAAAGTTTTCATGCACGGTGTGCCGTGAATTTTCCGACCTCCGGCGCATGCCGCATGTTCTCAATAGATCAGTCGCTAACGTGCCGGATCCGTGGTTAAAATGTCGTGTGTTCGAGGCCGGGCCGGGCCGGCGGAATGTTCTCCCTCATTTCCTAATTAAATGTGATTAAGTCTTTGCTCGCTGCTGATGCATGCTGTCCGTACGATGCAAGACAATTCCTGAGATACAATTGCAAAATTGCTGGGCATAACATGCAGTTAAGCTTAAAACACATTCATCATTGTATCATTTGCGCCACGCTATCTCGAGTTACAGGATGCCAATTTATGAATGTTAACTCAAGCTGTAGCCCTGAACTGAAATTAAACAAATACTTTAGAATAATCTGGCACATTTCTCGCATTATGCCGCAATTTATGTCCTGAACTTCGTTCTACCTGGCATATATTACCCTGATTTGCACTGGCGTCTTTAACACAACTATTGTGGTCTGGCAGCTGGAGGTGCAGGCCTCCGTTCTGAGCTCGGCGGCTAAAAAGGCCATACATATCCAGGAAACCGTCAGGAATGGGTTAGTCTGGAATTTGGAGGTATGTGCGTGTTCGGGGGCTGTTGTGCAGACGTTTTGCCAGGCAGATGACCAATAACTAATGAAATGTCCAAATGTTGAAGTATTTTCAATATTATTAAAATGTTAACAAACACTTTTTGTACGACGCAGAGCCTTTTTAACTCGGCATTTCAAATGAAACGCCCTGTGAGTAAAGATAAGAGTTCTTGGGTCGCGGGTGCGCACGTCAGGACTCAGGTCGTTCTAAACAGGGTCAGTGGATCCGAACCACACGACCGGCACTGGTTCAGCTTATGCAGCCTGCAGTGATCCGGATAACACAGTCGGCATCGGACGGATCACGCGGCCGGTATTGATCCGGGCCGGACGGCTGGTACTCGCACGGATCACAGTCAGTACTGGACCTTATTACACGGCCAGTACTAATCCGGACCACGCGACCAACACTGAATCGGATCTTACGACCGGAGGTGGCCCGGATCGCACGGCCAGTGGTGATCCGGATTACAGGCCGGCAGTCACCTGATCCTACGGCCGGAACTGACCGGGATCCGGATTACAGGGCCAGCAGCGACCGGATGCTACGGCCGGAACCGACCTGGATCTGGCCGCGGGCCGGATGTGACTGGATCCTACGGCCGGAACTGACCGGGATCTGGCCGCGGGCCGGATGTGACTGGATCCTACGGCCGAAACTGACCGGGATCTGACCGCGGGCCGGATGTGACCAGACCCTACGGCCGGAACTGGCCGCGATCCGGATTACAGGGCCGGCAGTGACCGGCTCCTACGACAGGAACTGACCGGGAGTTGGCCGCGGGCCGGATGTGACAGGTTACGTTGCCTGGGCCGGCCCGCTGGGCGTTGACGGTGATGCAGTTCTCCTCCCCGACGCGGACCACCCGGTCCCGGAAGAAGCCTTCTTCCACCCAGCATCGGTCGGCCTTCGCAGACCGCGGAATGACAGCGCATGAGCACCTGGCATCAGCTGGCATTGCCTTTCCAAATACCGGGATATCAACATCATTGATGACCATATGTGTATTTGCTGGCTATGAGCCTGCTATCTGGTGAGTTGAAATCAGAGAACGAAAGTACTGCGAATGCAGCATATTCAACCCCAGCAAATGTACCAGGCACTAAAGGAAGGTTGCCTCCATGAACCACCATGGGAGAAGCATGTTTTAATCAAGCTGACGTAAAGGAAAGGAAATTTTAGAGAATGCATTTAAAGCAATCTGATGAAAAGAGTCTATTTAAAGGGGCGAAATGTTCCATAGCAGGAAGAGATCCATGGTGGTGGGAACAAAGACAAGATGGGAAAAATTCGCAGGATGAAAAATAGATCCTCGATAATAGGATGAAAACACTGAAGCTCGGCAGATTTCCGGCGTCCAGGCCAAAAGGTAGACAGCAGTCGACAAATAGAAATGCATTATGGTTAGCATTCAGACGCGGACAAGGCATAGGGAGGCACATGGCCGTAGCCAGGTGTAATCAAGCATAACCAAATATAACCCTAACGAAAGATAGCCATAGAAGACGACAGAAAAACACATGGACGGGCAGACCACTAGCCAGACAAGCAGGCAAACCATTCCGCCGTCCCGGCACCTTGCGAGCGTGTGCCGGCGCGAGCCCCGACCGCAGCGCCACCTGCCTGTCCGCTGGCACGGGCCTCGACGACGGCGGGTGAGCCGGGCACCGCCTGACCGCCGTACTTCACCGCCACGTGGTACCGGCCGCAGTCGTCGGGCGTGTACCGGCCCGTGAGCGTGCCGTCTTCGTTATCCACTACCTCCAGCGTGCGGGGCTCACTGTCGGGACCCTGGCGGGACGCAGCGGGTCAGGCGGAGGGGTGGTTGGTTGCACCGGCGTGACGCTGTGCGGGGGCACGTGGCACAAATGGTGCACTACACAGCTCGAATTCTTCATTATCGGTGCTTTCTACCTGCGGTGGAGACTATTGGAGGATTAAATCGCTTTGACGGCGCTCATCAAATAATTCTCACGAAACGATTGGGACGACACGTGTAACCACAGATGTAATTAAAATTCAGGCTACGGCCCATGCCACTGGTATGATCTTCGCCGAACGTTTCGATCGGTTATGTCTCCTACACCCGTCAGATATCAGGTGGTAATAAGGATATCCCACATAGGGTAATGCATGTATTGCAGCTTCGAATGGTCCTCGCAGTTTCGAACACACAGCCTTGCCATGTGACCTAGAGCAAGCATTGGATGTCCTCGGTGGCTTAGTGGAATGGGTGTTAAGTTGATAATCGGGAGGCCGTGGGATCGGCGCTCTGAGCTGCGAGGATCATTCGACGTTACGACAAACACATTAAGGGACGGCCTCAGGATGTTTGGCAGGATGTTTGACGCTACGTCAAACACTGCCAGGCTATTCTCAGGATCAACCAACGCATGTCGACGCGTCCGCCTAAAGAATGACCGGCCTGAACGATCCGTGAAAGGGAACATCGCTGACAGCGGAAATAGCGTGAATAATGACTCCACTTGATCAGACTTCTTATGTATATTCCACTGTTTCAGACTGTTTTCCATCAAGCATTGTTCTCCGAAACATAAATGAAGCAATGGCATAACATGTCGCTCATTAGCACCCAGCGAGGGTTCTGGAGGTCGTACTCAGAGCCAGTGCCGTCGAATAGACCACCCACAACGACCTGGGCTTTCAGGTCGCCCCCGCTGAGTGGACCACTCACCACGACCTGGGCCTCCAGGTCGCCGAAGCCGGCCTGGCGCGTGTCGACGGTGAACTGCGTGGGCAGCGAGGCGGGTACTCCGCTACTGGAGACGCCGGCACCGGACAGTCGCACGCTCGATGGCTCACAGGTGGGCAACACGAGCAGCCGCCACGGACTGCGGGGACGACACACAGAGTCACTGACTGGGGGCGCACCCAGTGTCGCTCCACGGCAACACGAGCAGCCGCCACGGACTGCGGGGACGACACACGCGCACAGTCACTGGCTGGCGGCGCACCCACTGCCGCTCCGCGGTAACACGAGCAGCCGCCACGGACTGCAGGGACGACACACACAGAGTCACCGGCTGGCGGCGCACCCACTACCCCTCCACAGCGCGGGACGGCCTGACGCTGGTGACGATATCACGCATTCGCCGGCTGGCGGCTCATCCACTGTCCCTCCCTGTTTCCAATCCTCACCCCACCTACATCAGTGAAATACGTACCTACTTCGAGTAAACGTAATGCAACGGAATATCTGGCGGACAAACGAATGACTGACCTGCCCGGAATGTCCTCGCCATCCCACGTGACACGCGGCATACAGATGGTGCCCTCCGGCGGCGGATGGTAGGTGACGGTGTACGTGCCGTCTCCGTTGTCCTCCACCGTGGGCTTGCGCGGCAGCGGACCTGGAGAACCGAGCACGAGGCTAGCGGCCAATCGGGGTGATTCGACGCACGGGTGTCGACTTGTATGCTTTTGGGTGGGCCACTGCCCCCCCCCCCCCCTCCCAATGACTAATTTGACCCTCCCCAACAGTGACCTGGGCCCTTCAACATTCTGGAGTCTGAGCACAGGCGGATCATTCAAAATGAAACGCTAAAAGTTGCATCAATTCTTATGTTGAATTCTAGTAATTGTTTCACTGGCAAAAGGATCGAAGAAAACAATAATTGCGATGTCATGTTAAGACGGGGCCGCTGACGAAGTTCGTCGCACTATCAAGTCTGCACTATCACGAAGAGTTTATTTTCAAGTATGCGCCGTGTTTATATCATGTTTATACCCTGTTCATACCGTGTTTATTTGAGCATTTTCTGTTTTTTCTTCATGATGCAAGTTTTTCATTACAGGATTAGTATGCCTTGTTGACTCGGATCTAGTTTTGTGTTGTTGCCTGAATGTTTTGAAATTATTCAGAGATGTTTTTGGTTCCATAGGCTCAAGCAGGTTGTGTTATTTTGCCCCGACGTCTTATCGGAAAGTGAAATCAAACCCGTTGAACACCAGCATCCAAAAATGCGTGTAGTTATCAGCCACGGGTGTTGATTTGTACTGTTTGGGTGGGGGACTGCTCCCCTCCCCCCTACCCCACTCCCGTAAGCTGAACTTGGCTCCTCCAAACGTTGAAGCCCTGGTTCATGTGCCCCGAATTCTAAAAATGGAAAATAAAGGTGGTTGAAATTTTGAAAAAGTTCTACGAGCTAATTCTTAGCCACAAAGAGGCATGGGCAGTGTAATAAATACAATACTTAGGTGCCTGGGGCATTGCGCATATATTTGGTATTCCAGATGGCAAGAAGGATTTACATCACCTCTACCTCAAATCGCAAACCCTCCTCTCCGGAAAAGGCTGCCGATAGGATCTGTTACATTTGTGCAGAGCGTCCCACAAATCCACAAATAAAAAAGTTGCAAGTTGCATGTTGCGAGTTGCAGGCTGCATGTGGTAAGAAAATTGTTTTCTTTTGCCACGACGCCTTACCAAAAAATGAAAACAAGCCGGTCGAATGAATCTGTGTTTGAAATTCGTTTCGAAGTTTGTCTCGAGGGCCATCAGGTAGTTTGTGCGTTCTCTTTCCAGACCGCCACCTATTTTGTCCTCATGCTTGGCACCTACGGTAGACAGACTCATTGGAGCTTTTCAGGGAATTCTGCATCAAGAATTCATATTTTTTACGTCTCCTACCCTTACATGCAAGCCTTACTTATTTCATAATATCGTAAAATTAATAAGTTTGATGAGCAGTATGGGTCCACAGAATCCCCTACCTTTGTTTCCTTACGGAACTGCAGAGGCCCTCTCTTTACTTACTATTGTCGCCGTTGCGCTTTCTGTTGTGTACTTCGGTGGGTCTATGTGCCTTTCTACCGATATCAAGCATTTCCAAAGAATGCAGTGACAGCTTGATCGGTAAAACAATGATCTGGGGAGTCCGAGTACCGAATCCAAAAAAGTCACTGGTCGGCCCGGTGTGACTCATTCCTGTTTCTGAGCCCAACTGGTCGCTGAAATCGTTCGATAAGCTGTTAACTATCGCCGTAGCTGGTGTTTATTGGTTAGGGCGATGTACTCTAGTCCAGAAGGTGTTAATTATCATCTTCGGCGGCTCAACTTTTTCAGCTACCCTTTCTCCCTTATTTTGATTGGCTTCTTCCCATTTCAATAAACGTTTGCCGCGCGTAACGACGTTTCTGAAATTGGGGATGTGATGATCAAAGCTGTGAAAAGGGGAGTGGGTTGGAAAAGTTTTCGGGTCTCATGCACTACATCTTTATGGTCACCAGCATCTGTGCTAATTAACACGCGCTCGGGTGGCCGGTTGGATGCCCTTCGCTCGGGTGGAGGGTCAGTTTGACCCCCCTGTGATATCAGAAACTAAGAGAGGTAGACACCAAATTGACAGCGTATGTTAGCCTGTGCCTGAACTCACTTCGGTCAAAGTTTGAGGTTCCTAGGTGATAAACTTTGGTTTAAATAAGGTCAAAAAAGGTCGATCTCCAGGTTGGTCTCCAAAGTGCCCCTCAGAACCTAGACTAAGCAAAAGGTCACGTGATCGTTTACGGCCAGTGACCTTGTCTGACCTTTCGAACGTCATGTTGACCAAAATCATATAAGACTGCTTTAAATTTTGCATTTGAATAGGCGACAAAGATTACGTTACACAGTATGTTACCAAGACGAAGTGTTGATGATCCGAGTCATTTTGGGTTAGTGACCTATTATGACCTCTGAGAAGTGCATGGAAGATGAATAATGAGGTTCCTTTAAATCGATAAATTCGAAATGAGCGCCGAGAATTACCCCATACAGCAAGCCCTAGAACTATAAAACAGATTGGCTTGATCTGACCTTCAAAACGGACCTTATGTCAATGGAATTTGTTAATTTAATTGGTGCGTTGCCTAAGAAAGTATCTCAGAGATGTATTGTCCCGTCTTTCACTCCGTTGTTGAATCAGATTAAACGATTCCCTAGAAATTGACTTCGCAGCGTCCATGGCCTGACTTTGGCCTGCCGTAGGTCAGGGACCTTACAAGGTGCATCTAAACTCTTAATATCAAACAATCTACTATTCATTTCTCTGCAACTATGCAAAACTTGGCGCGGCTACGCCGTGCCGTTCGGAAACCATTCTGGAAAACCTTCGGAGGGTCAATTTGACCCCCACCCAAACGCGTGCCAAGAGTTGCAAGAGCGCGCACGTCTGTCCGTATGTTGACTTGTGCCTGTGATAACGCTGAACGTACTAGTAGAAGATCGCGTACAGATCAAACTGAGGGAGGCACGGGGCTGAAATTTCCGCAGCACACAAGTACGAGCACAAGAAATTCACATGCGCCGCGACGGCTTAGTGAGTGAACTCACGTTGGCTGACGGAAGAGAAGAGTAGATTGCAACGAACTGGGATATGGCTAAGAAGTGCCGATTGTGCGAGGTTCAGGGCGATTAGTGCTTGCGACGCGTCGCAGTAAGCCGCATGTTTTAAACCATCGCAAATACCGCGATGTAACCGTGTGGTTATTACGCCGTAAGCGGCAAGACGTAGATATCAAAATAGGACAATTGTTTATGTGCATGTGCGTCCCTGAAGAGGTCCAGAGTCCAGGCAAATGCACGTGTGTAGTGACGCAAGGTACATAAACAGAAATGGACGCTGCTGTGAAAAGACCGTGATGGATTTTTTTTTTTGTAAACGCGATTGCTGGACAACACATGTAACGACTACCACAGGAGGCAAGCAATAACGGCAGAAGTGTGGAGGTAGGGGGGAGACACCGGCTAAGCTATTTTTAGGCGTTTAGGGTAATGCGTCTTTAGAATTAAGAAATAACCATTGTCCACAGCTATTCACCACTCCTTTTTCTGGGTGCACATAGAGTAAGTGACACCTTGTCCGGTGGGTTATAGAAGTAAAGGCATGCCATGATCCGATTGCCACACAAATGTAACAAACCGCTGTCATGCAACATATGCGTCGCACATTTCACGAATCCATGCAATATGCTCACTGGATGGGTGGGGTGTCGGCAACGCCTCGGAGACAGTTGTTGTCTGGAGCATTTTGACGTCATGTTGTCTAGTACGTGTCATACTTTTTAGCTAAATTATGTGTCTATATGCAGCCCGTAACCAATTAAACGAACCGATTAATTCACTACATCAATTCGCGTTGATGATCGTGTAACTGGAACGGTGATTGAATGCGAAAGATGGCACAAAACAGTTAAATGCTCGATTGTAGTTATGACTGGTTATGTTTTCTTCGAATGACTTAAATACACAATTTATGTGACGTTTTCAAAACGCATTATCTTTTTGTTCTTCACGCATACGAAAGTTGCAAAAAGTTATCTAGAATCGTGCAATGGTCAGAACAGATATACACATGGCATATTGTCATTCTTCAGAACCACCGGCTTCCTCTCCGACTCCTCCTGGACCGCCACTTCCTTGCCCTGCGGAGACGTCGTCCCAATCGACTCACGATCCTGCTCCAAAGAAACGCCGGCACCACTTCTTACCGGAATTGAGGCAACAGTTTGCGTGACTTCATTTTGACACAGAGCTACAGGGGGCTGTCTGTGTTTGTTGCGTGGCCGCCCATCAACAGGGCCTACTGTTGGGGACGGAGAAGAAGGAGGAAGTGTCCGTTTGCAACGGGTTCTCAAACTGGAAGGGCAGTGTAGAGCAATTTTGGTCACACGAAACCAGCCAATGTCATCAACTCGCTGTTAAGAGCCTAGTCACGGCTGGAAGCCCATGCATCACTGCCATCTTAGCAGCGGTGGGCAAGGCCCACCGCTGGTGCAGTGCCGCTTGCTGCCCACCCAGAGGCAGCAAGCGGCACTGCACGCTCTACGCCGCGTCTTCGAGGCGTCTCCTACTGCCTCGAGCAGGGCCTGGCACTTCGTCGCCGAGACGAAGAGGAAGGGAACGTGCTGCAGCATCTGGTGACGGCGGCGAGGCAAGACCCGCAGCTGGCTCGCTGGCTGACGCGGTGCATTGCGACAATCCGTATTTTACGTCGCCGGAAGCTCCGGCTGAAGTGCAGCGACAGCTGGCGCTGACAGGGATCCGGAGGGCTGTTGCCGACGTCTCCGATGCAGGCTTCTTCGCGTCGATCGGGGATAAGACCACCGACATCACCGGAGGGAAGCAGATGGCGGTGCGCCTTCGCCCCGTCAGCGAGAAGTTGGAGGCGAAGGAAGTGCTCCTCGGCCTCTACCAGACGGACAGCACGACCAGGGACACCCTGTATTCGCTGCTCCGAGACGTCCTGACGCGCCTGCAGCTGCCCATCAGCAAGCTGAGGGAGCAGTGCTGCAATGGTGCCGCGAGCATGGCCGAGTACATCGGAGGTTAGCTTCACCTTTCGGGGCCGTAACTGTTCGTTGAACGACATCGAATGCCTTCGTCGGTACTGAGAACTTACAAGGCCATGCACTTGTAGCATTTTAACTCATAGTTTGTGCGTCTGTAAAAACTATGCATTTTCATGCATTGTAAGCACTTTCTACAAATTGTCCTGTCATCTTTTATCACTGTTTGAATGGGAGTTAGTGGCCCAAAGGGATTGTCAAACTATAGGCTACATGAATGCATGTCTCAATCTCGCGGAACAACGCGCGCAGCACCCTGCAAGAGATGTGGGATGCGGTACACAAGGTCGGGAGACTAGCGACATCTTATCGCGACTCTCCAAAGCGCCTCGTAGCGCTCGAAGGTGCCGACGCTCAGTCGTCTCTGCGGCCCCTCTGCCCAACACGCTGGGCGTGCACCCAGGTCCGTGTGGCATCTGTCCTCAACGAGTACGGTGCGCTGCTGCAGTGTCGGAGGGGCTGGCAAGCGACTGAGGATCTCGGCCGGAGGTCACGAGCACCGTCAGCGGGCTTTACCGGATGATGCCACCTTCGAGAGCTTTTCTTTGGCTTGCGGCTGGCCCTCTTGCTCCTGGACCTTACCACACCGGCCATGGAGTTGGTTCAAGGATGCACCCCATCTTCGTCCACTAACGTAGACTCGGTGTTGCCACTGCGCGAGATGATGCTGTCGCAGCGTGAGGCGTTCTCGCGGTTCTGGGAGCGGATGACATGCGCTGCTGTGGGCCTGGACGTCAACCGCCAAGGCTCAGGCGCGACAGACGGCCTCCGCGACGTCTCGACGAGGGTCGGGCCCACATCACCCCGCAACTCCTGATGACGGCTACAGACCAGTGTATGTTGAAGCCATGGACTGCCTCGTCGCTGAGATCCGCGGTCGGTATGAGTTCGACGAGCCGGCGCTGGCCACGGCCGAACGCACTCTCCAGACAGCGAACGACCAGGTACGAGCCGAAGCGGACCAGTTCTACGCCATGAACAAGCACCAGCTTTGAAGTCAGAGGGAGACGCTGGCGGACGTAGTACGAAAGAGACGAACTCGCCTGTCTTATTTAGATGACGCTGCGGCCCTGCTAAAGGAGCCAGTGCTTGGAGAATTCCTGAAAGTTGCCTCCACGCTGCTCCGTCTCATCTTGACGGCCCCTGCAACCACTTGCTCAGCTGAGCTGACGTTCAGCCTGCTCAGCTGGGCCGACGTTCAGCCTGGTCAGCTGGGCGGACGTTCAGCCTGGTCAGCTGGGCGGACGTTCAGGCTGCTCAGATGGGTGGACGTTCAACCCGGTAAGCAGAGCGGACGTTCAGCCCGCTCCGATGCGTGAAGAGTTGGCTTCGATGCACCATCAGCCATGAGCGGCCCAACTACGCTGCTGTGCTGGCCACCTATTCAGACCTGCTGGATTCACTTGACCTCAAGGCCGAGGTTAAGCTGTTCGCGGTGCAGTCAAGCCAGCGGGTGAACACGTTCGATCGGTGGTGATGGCATTCGCCGCAAACTACAGCCGAGTCACGGTGAGGTGAGGTGAGGTGAGGTGAGCGCGGAATAAGAATTGCTTGAAGTGCAGAACGTGTTGTTTTCGCGTCCTCAGGCATTCACTCCCGAACATTGTGGGCAGGCCTCTATGGTGCGCGTGCCGGGAGTCGGATCCTCCAGCCAGACAGCACGTCCTGAGCGAGATGAAGTGACGTTTTGCTGTCTCTGGCGCCTACTTTGTTGCTTCCATTCCTTTTGTCGCATTGCAAAGGCATTACTGTGGTGCACGCGCTGCGTGTGGGATTTTCCCATAATGCAAAAAACTTGTGATGGAGTGATGTTTTGTTATTCTAGTGTGGAGGTTGCTGGCTTCACTCTTGTTGTGGTATTACGGATACGTTGAATGGAGCACGTGGTGTGATTCACGTTTTCTTGGGGTGCAGTACGTCGTGCAACGAGGGACTTTTCTATGCCTCCTATATATCGGCCAGTGTTCGGCACAAGTGGGAAATGTCTGTGTCGTTTGAACCTGTTTTGTGGTTTCGTTTTCCATGATGTTTTTTTTTCTCCTTACCGGCGCTGACAGTACTTTGCTTCCGATTCGAGAATAAAATTTGCTGCCAGTCAGTCTCTGCGCCATGTTTGGGTGTGATGTACTAAACCAGTTCATCAGTGAACCTTCAAGGTCATTACCGGGGCGGACGAAATTTGGCTGCTAATTGGCGTCAGCACAATTCCTTTCATTTATTCTAATTGCGCTCTGACTTGAGATGACGAACATTCTGAATTTTGTGCAAATGCAATGCAATATACAATGGTAATATTCAGCACCTGAATCCTCCAGAATCAAGTCATTTCATGACAAAAACGAACACTTTCGAATAAATGCCCTTTTCCATTGTAAGCATTGTTTTGAGGTGGCGCGTTACCTTTTTTATCTATGACATTCATTTCATCGCACGATCTGTTCTGATACAAGCTGTTTAATGCGGAATCAGCGCGAAAGTAAGCAGCTTAATCCAAGCCCCTATCCAGGCGAAGTTTGCGAAACAACACAAAATAGGCCACTGCTTGAACGAACAGGACGCGTGGAACCCCAGCGGTTATCTGCCGAGCAAAACGCTTTGTGATCAGATAATCCAGCATCTGAGCCCCGCCAACGGGCTTTTCCATGACAGTCGCATGCACGTTTCACAGAGTGACATTTCCATTAAATTCTAGACCAAATTTTGCAGCCCATCCCACGGGTTATGTAGTGCATGATTTGCATTGCGTGCGTTTCCTCACAGCTCCGATAATTTTGGAAATAGTGTACCCATTGTCGGGGGCAGAGGCAAGCACCGTGCATCATCGCAGCACCAAAATGGATTTGGATGGGCATACATGTGAGTTACGAGATTGAGCAATGAGCTTCTGCATCAAAAGCTCTTAAGCTTTTGCATGTTTTTCCGCGTTAAGGTATCGGGTGGAGAAGAGTAAGAAAAAGTGGAAAGTGCAGGGAGCATAGAGATTGCAAAGAATATGTGAGTGAATGGAGTACGGTTAACGGAATCCCAGACGTTTTCTATACTAACCCTCGGCGACTTCAACGACGTTCCCGCTCCCCAAACAGCTTAGAAAATCGACATCTATGGAGGGTGCAGCTGAAAGTCCTAGCTCTGCTTCATAGCTCTGCTTCTGCTTACTTAAACTCAATAGCTCTGTGAAGCAGAGCTATTGAGTTTGTAAGAAGCTGATGCCAACTGACATGCCTCCATATGTGCAGTTTGTGTACGCACACATGTGGTTTAAAAACAGGCAGTGATTATATGTATATAATTATATATATATATATATATATATATATATATATATATATATGCAATCTATGATTATATATATACATATATCAAAAAGTAGACGCACGAAATCTAAGAAGGTTTTTGTATCTGTCCCTGTCGGCGACTTCCAAGATTCTTCCCCCTTCCCCCCCCCACCATTTTGAGAAATCGACACCCATGATTCGATGAATACTGCTGGAACCGTCTTTAGTACTAACTAGATGTTCGAATCTCTTCACCTCAGAGAAGGTCAGTGCAGCCAGGGCGGCATGGCCGTGATAGCAGTTAGCCATCAGGACCCAGGAGCCGGGTTCACAATTAGCCGACGCTATGGAGGCTGGAGCCGTGTGGCACCCGACGCGCCGTGCCTTCCTCCGTGCTCGTGCCTCACCCCTATCGCTGCGGATGTCCACACCGAGGGCAGCCGGGGCCGAGCGCGAGGCGTCCACTGAGAACGTGAGCGGTACGCCGGCCCGGCAGCCGTCCGCGCTGACGCCGGGGCCGAGCGCCACCACACCGGAGGCGTCCACCGCGAGCTCCACCGGCACCTGCGGCAGGGGAGCGGAGCTCGTGATCCATCACGCCAGCAGCGTCCACCGCGCGCTCCACCGGCACATGCGGCAGGGGAGCGGTGCTCGTGATCCACCACACCGGAGGCGTCCACCGCGCGCTCCACCGGCACCTGCGGCAGGGGAGCGGAGCTCGTGATCCATCACGCCAGCAGCGTCCACTGCGCGCTCCACCGGCACATGCGGCAGGGGAGCGGAGCTCGTGATCCATCACGCCAGCAGCGTCCACTGCGCGCTCCACCGGCACATGCGGCAGGGGAGCGGTGCTCGTGATCCACCACACCGGAGGCGTCCACCGCGCGCTCCACCGGCACCTGCGGCAGGGGAGCGGTGCTCGTGATCCACCACACCGGAAGCGCCCACCGCGAGCTCCACCGGCACCTGCGGCAGGGGAGCGGTGTTCGTCTACCAGAGGCTATGAACCTGAGCGCCCACACATCAGGGTCTGCGCAGCAGGGCGGGGGGGGGGGGGGGCGTAGGGGGCAGTTGTCCTCTGTCGCCAGGCAGGGAGCAAGATTTTAACGTTTGCGTTCGACCCAAAAATGTGGGAGCCTTTCTCCCCACATTAAAGGCGCTGCAGCTACCCGCAGAGTACCCAAATAGATATTAAGTAGGCCCCTATGCTTTTGGCGCCCCTCCCGGTTGAATACAACACCCCACCCACCCATCCCCCCCCCACTCCAACAGAAAGTTGTGGCGCCGCCCTTGCCACACAGCACATCCTGCCTGTACCTATGCAGGGCTGTGAGCCAGTGCACACATACGCACGCACGCACACACGCACATGCGCGCGCGCACACACACACACACACACACACACACACACACACACACACACACACACACACACACACACACACACACACACACACACACACACACACACACACACACACACACACACACACACACACACACACACACACACACACACACACACACACACACACACACACACACACACACACACACACACCACACACACACACACACACACACACACACACACACACACACACACACACACACACACACACACACACACACACACACACACACACACACACACACACACACCACACACACACACACACACACACACACACACACACACACACACACACACACACACACACACACACACACACACACACACACACACACACACACACACACGAATTGTACGTTGATTTCAGATACTAGCACGCATACACGTCTTATGAATGATCGTGACAGCAGTTAATATAGCATGTACTTGATGTTCACCATCCATGTATGCATCACCCATTTGGCAGGACACCGACTGCAATTGGACGTCTGCACGTTTAGATTCGCGGCCGCCCGTGACCGTGGTCGGTATGTCCGCCGCCTGTGTCCGCCCGTGTCCGCCGTGTCCTCCCGTGTCCGCCGCCCGTGTCCGTGGCGGCCCGTGTATCTCGGCCGAGCCCCTCACGCCGACCTGGGCCGACCAACCTTGAACGGAGACCCGGGGATGGGCTGGTTGGCGAACTTGACGTTGACGTCGTACTGGCCGGGCTCCGTTGGAGCGTACACGACCGTGCAGGAGCCGTCCTTGTTGTCGACGCAAGACATCTGGGCCTCGGACGGGCCCTCGATGGCCAGGGCCAGGCCGCCGGAGCCCGCCCCTGCCGCCGAGACAACGCACCGCCTCGGTCAGCTGCAGCGCACTACAGACGACAATGAACGCAGGAGAAACTGGAGGCACCAACGCTTCTCGATCACAGGGGCATGAAGAGCTCGTACGCGGTGGGACCGCGCATTCTGGGCACGGTACGCTGGTCTCGCCTATCTCACTACCTCGCTGACACGCTGACCTTGCCTACCTCGCTGCCTCGCAGGCAGAGGCGAGATGAGGTAAATGTAAGCCACCAGTGAAGAAATGGCTGAGTTTGACAGGGCACGGCACGGCACGGCACGGTGGAGCGTAGCCTCACCGCGGGTGTTGACAGTGAAGGTGTTGGCCTGACCGACGAGACCTCGGCGCAGGCCAGCACCGGTGACCGTGACCCGGCCCGGGTCACAGCCCGGCCGCGCCGTCACCTGGAACGGTGAGCCCGGCACCGGCACGTCGTTGTAGGTGATCTCGACCTGGTGTCGACCTGCGGGTGGCGGACGGGGCCAGACAGTCCCGGCGTGCTTCTTGAGGCGGCAGCGGCCGCTCCCCCCGGCGGCGGGGCGGAGCTCACGAACAGACCAGGCACGTTTTCAGTCTTCAGAATGGAATGGGACATTGGCCTTAATGATACACGCGTCAGTCTACTCAGCCTTCGCGGGCGTTTCGTTTTCATGAGCATGACCGGCTGAATATGACGGTGCTGCCGTTGTCACATAAAACCCCTAGGTAAATGTTCGTCCAAAGTCTGATAAACATGTGCCGCGGGGTGAGTGATCAGAAATAGGGCTGCAATCAGCACCTAGTGCAGCCCGCAGGCTTCAACATCAGCATACTTATCCTCTGAAGACATACAAAGCCAGTCAGCATCGCAAAACTGCAAATTATTAACTTATGAACTGACAAAGCTGACTTACAGGCATTTCAAATCCACACCAGCACCTCTCTCTGGTAACATCATCAGACCTCAAACATCCAGACATCGGGCGACCTGGTCTCTGACAGTGGTGGCGCTGGTGGTACCGCGTCGCTGTCAGCGCCCTGGCACTGTCGATCTCGCCTGCCCTCGGCCGGGCGACGGCCCGGCGGACCTACCCTCCTCGAGGGGCGTGTAGTCAATGTGGAATGTGCCATCGCCGGCCGGCTGGACGCGGGCGGGCCAGCTGTCGCCGGACGGACCGGTGACCAGACACGCCAGGCGGCCCTGCTCGGCGCCAGCCACGCCGCGCGCGTCGCACAACACGTCCGCCGGAGAGTCGACAAATACGCCTGGCGGAGAGTGGCCGAACCACGCCGTCAGCAGCGCCTCTCGTGGACGGGAGTGGAACTGCAGGGCACAGACGGCGGCGTGGGAGCAGGCAGGCGGGGGATGAGACTGGAAAACGTTACTTCCGGTGAAACATTTGCGACTTTCTGGTCGCAGCCAGATAATTTTAGTCATGGTGAGGGGCGCACTGGATGTAGCAAAACACAGCGGTATACGTCGCTAGTTTCACTAAGCTGACTTAGAGGCGAAAGCGGTTACGACGCGAAACGCCAGAGTGGGATTACGAAAATCCAATGCAAATACCTAGAACCTAAAAATCGGGGTTAAGGAAAGCAGCTATGGTAAGTAGTACGAGGAAGTCGGTAGCCAAGCCTCCGATGGATAACAGCGCTGCACAATGAACGAGAAGCGTACGCCACCGCCGTCTACATATGCACGGCAGAAACTACTTGTAGACAAAGTCTACTTAAAATATGTATGCTAAGTCAACGAGGCCAAACACATGTATGTGCTGATAGGTACACTTTTTGGAGTTAAACCCTCACGATTCCAGCTGAATGGGCACACTTTCCATGCATTGTCAATGGAATTTATGCCACTTTCACAAAGCGCAGATTTATTTTATTCTGAGCTGACTCCGACACTATCGCGAGTCAAGCACAAGTTTGCTCACATCACAGGTAGATCAACAGCATGAAACAGAATGTGTCACCGCACTCCATCCCAGATGAAACCAAATGACCCGCAAACATTCCCATATTTGGCTGTAAGCCACACCGATCAACAAATGTCACCTCGACGGTGACGCCCAGGCCGATCAAATGTGTGAGATAATGCGCTGTTCAAGAGGTGAACAAAGACCAACAACGCGAAACAATAGCTTTGACGTAGCAGAGTAGCATACAAAAAAAACACACAGAAAACACAGCAATCGTATAACGGCATAAAATTCAACCAAACGGTACTCCATGCCATGACAGACTTCAGAGCATGGAGTAAGTGAGATCAATGCTTTCAAAATGACAAACCACGGCAGCACTATACGCTACATACTCAAATCTAAGCGGTTGATCCAAACAAGCTTGTGCCGAAACAGCATGCGCCATGCGATAAAAACCACGTCAGCTGGCTGCAGTCGCACGCCAGATCCGTGCTGCAAGTTCAGGCATGCGAGCCACGCTACCGTAGGGGTGCACGCCGTATCCGGACGTGTGCACGGCGTGCACGCGGAGCTCGTCGTGCACGGCCGCGCGGAACGGCGAGCCGGGCACGTGCTGCTCGTCGAAGAAGACATTGACGAAGTAGAGGCCGGCGGCGGTGGGCAGGTAGGCCACGTCGCAGGTGCCGTCTCCGTTGTCTCTGCAGCTGATGGCCGCCTCGCAGGGGCCTTCGACCGTGACGCCTAGGCCACCGTGGCCGGCGCCGCGCGTGTCGATCACGAACCGGGCCGGCCGCCGCACGGCGCCGGCGTGCAGGCCGGGACCATGAACGCGCACGCCGCGCGCCGCCGCCGGCACGCACGCCACCTGGCGGCCGGCCAGCTCGGCGCTGCCCAGACGTACGCTCAGCCAGCACAGGCCCAGCTCGAGCGGCACAAAGTCCACCAGCAGGCCACCCGCCGTCGGCCGCGCGTTGGCGCGCGTCCGCACGCCCGACGCCGAGGTCAAGGTGACGGCCAGGTCGGCGGGCTCCAGGCCGGCCGGCGTGCGCACCACAAACTGCTGCCGGCTGAGCAGCGGCACGGCTGGCACCGCCCACCAAGCGGAGGTCACACAGCGGCCGGGGTCCGGGGGCACGGCCTACTTAGGGTACGGACCACCTCGTCATAGAGCACATCCGCGCGAAACGTCACGACGCATGGAGGACATCGGGTGTATGTCACACATCCCGCGGGTGGGTGGCTGGTGGACATGTGGGCTAGAGGTCGCACCAATAGAGGTGTGCCGGGTCACAGGGTTCAGAGTTCACAAGGCAGGGGCCACGGGGAGCATGGCCCATCGGTCCGTGTGTGGTTCACGTTGCTGTAGTGAGTATGCACAGCTGTGGTTTTGTTACTAAGGTGCGTCCACAGAGTCGGCGTTAGTATCAGAACCACAGCTTACAGAGTGTCCGCACCTCAGTGGCACATCGCTGCCCTACACCACCCCTGCCCTGCCTTCACCCCCGCCCTACATCACTTCTCCCCTGCCTCCGCTCCTACTCTACACCACCCCTGCCCTCCCGACACCCCTGCCCTACACCACAACTGGCCTGCCTACACCCCCGCCCTACATCCTTTTTCCCTGCCTACGCCCCTACTCTACGCCACCCCTGCCCTCCCTACACCCGCGCCCTACATCATCTCTCCCCTGACTACGCCCCTACTCTACACCACCCCTGTCCTGCCTTCACCCCCGCCCTACATCACTTCTCCCCTGCTACGCCCCTACTGTACACCACCCCTGCCCTCCCTACACCCCCGTCCTACATCACTTCTCCCCTGCTTACGCCCCTACTCTACACCACCCCTGCCCTGCCTACATCCCTGCCCTACCTACACCCCTGCCCTACCTACACCCCTGTCCTACCACTGCTGTCAGCAACGACGTAAGGCGAAAAGCCATGTCTGTGAGGACGGCAACGGCTTCCCTTATGGTTCCAGATATGTAGAGAAATACTCTGAGGCGAGCAGAATTGCAGACCAACCTAACAGCCATGGGACGTCACGCAACTGACGGCAGGCTCCAGTGCAAGACTACTCCAGCGCAACACGAGCGCCCACAGCGTGTTACAATTCAGTCACAGCAGCATTCAACCTTATTACGAAGACTTGGGTACCATAAAAGCACTGGTCCACGCGCAGACACATATCAATTCGTGATGTGCCTAGGATAAGAACAGTGCAAACTGTGTCATACGGATTCCGTTGCAACACATTTCAACCCGTTCACTTTCGGTAATTTTACGAGTGTGAAATCTAACCATCATGCGTCATAAATCAGTGCATTTTACCAGTTTTAAGAAAAAAGACATTTAGCTGCAGGTTTTTTCCATCTTATGGGCTGAAAGTGTTATGTTGAGTTAACCGCCTTCAACAAACCAAGAGCTACTAGTTAAACGGCGTTGTAATGCTGAATAAGATATGTTGACGATACTGGGTACCGTCAATATCATCATTACTCGGCATCCACATTCAATATAACCGTTACCCAGCATTACGTCTTTTAATCAGCACCTCCCGGTATATTGAAGGTCATTAGCTGAATCTACGAACTTCCAGCTGATTGCATTGTATCAGTCTGGCATTTTCCCCTTGCTTTCCCGCAGACTTTATCGATCACATCTCTCCCTTTTCGAGGCAGCTCTACTCACTTGGCTGCAGTCCCTCCACGAGGATCTGTGAGACATCAGTGCTGGGCAGCACCGCGACGGTCAGCGGACTCTGCGGCACGTCCTGGCCGCCGTAGCTGACGTTCAGGCTGTACGTGCCGGGCCCGGGATAGACCAGGTGGGCGCGCACCACATCGCTGCTGGCCTCCTCCAGTCGAACGGGCACCTCGGCGCCGCTTTCACAGTGCCGCAGCAGCAGGTGAAGCTCACCTGGAGAGGGCGGGTGGTCCGGTCAGCGGCGGCGGGTGCACGAACGACCACCGAGACCAGTCTGCACACTTCTACCGGCAGCAGCCCCCAACGAGATCAGCCTGCAGGCTTCTACCGGCAGTAGTCCCCAAAGAGACCGCCCTGTAGGCTTCTGCCGGCGGCACCGCTCCCGAGACCAGCCTGTAGGCTTTTACTGGCAGCAGCCCCTACCGAGACCAGTCTGCGGACTTCTACTGGCAGCAGCGCTCAGTCAACTATGCCGGAGGCGTATGAGCGTGGGCTTGTATACCGGAGGTGTGTGAGCGTGGGCTTGCATACCGGAGGTGTGTGAGCGTGGGCTTGTATACCGGAGGCGTATGAGCGTGGGCTTGTATACCGGAGGTGTGTGAGCGTGGGCTTGTATACCGGAGGCGTATGAGCGTGGGCTTATATACCGGAGGTGTGTGAGCGTGGGCTTGCATACCGGAGGCGTATGAGCGTGGGCTTGTATACCGGAGGTGTGTGAGCGTGGGCTTGTATACCGGAGGTGTGTGAGCGTGGGCTTGTATACCGGAGGCGTATGAGCGTGGGCTTGTATACCGGAGGTGTGTGAGCGTGGGCTTGTATACCGGAGGCGTATGAGCGTGGGCTTATATACCGGAGGTGTGTGAGCGTGGGCTTGCATACCGGAGGCGTATGAGCGTGGGCTTGTATACCGGGGGGGTGTGAGCGTGGGCTTGTATACCGGAGGTGTGTGAGCGTGGGCTTGTATACCGGAGGCGTATGAGCGTGGGCTTGTATACCGGAGGTGTGTGAGCGTGGGCTTGTATACCGGGGGTGTGTGAGCGTGGGCTTGTATACCGGAGGTGTGTGAGCGTGGGCTTGCATACCGGAGGCGTATGAGCGTGGGCTTGTATACCGGAGGTGTGTGAGCGTGGGCTTGTATACCGGAGGTGTGTGAGCGTGGGCTTGTATACCGGAGGTGTGTGAGCGTGGGCTTGTATACCGGGGGTGTGTGAGCGTGGGCTTGTATACCGGAGGTGTGTGAGCGTGGGCTTTTATACCGGAGGTGTGTGAGCGTGGACTTGTATACCGGAGGTGTATGGGCGTGGGCTTGTATACCGGAGATGTGTGGGCGTGGGCTTGTATACCGGAGGTGTGTGGGCGTGGGCTTGTATACTTGAGGTGTGTGGGCGTGGGCTTGTCAGAAAAGGTCGGCTCTGACGCATTACAAAACTCTGTTGGGCCTTTGGAACAAGGAAGTGCCGGTTTGCATGCATATGGTTGAGGCCGGTTTACTACTACAACGTCTGATTCAAACAGGATGACTTTGGCTCTCTCCGTGCTGGGCGAGGTCATGGGAGCTGCGCAGAAGGACAAGCGTCTGTCAAATGCATGTGTATCGCCACAGGCATGATCCAAACTACGTCGGCATTACCTGTCCCAGCGCCGATCGTGTCGACGCTGACGTGGGTGGCCTCCTGTGCCGTGACGCCCGGCTCCAGCGCGGGTCCGAACACGCGCACCTGGCTGGGGTCCAGCCGGTCCGCGGCCAACACACGGAACGGGGACTGAGGCACGGCCAGACCGCCGTACTCCACCTGCCGAGGTCAGCACACGGGTCACGTGGCTGGGGCACGGCCAGGCCGCCGTACTTCACCTGCCGAGGTCAGCACACGGGTCACGTGACTGTGGCACGGCCAGGTCACCGTACTCCACCTGCCGAGGTCAGCACACGGGTCACGTGACTGTGGCACGGCCAGGTCACCGTACTCCACATGCCGAGGTCAACACACGGGTCAGGCGGCTGTGGCGACGTTAGGTGACACGATTTCCTCTTTTCTTCGCTCCAATGTAAGCATAACATTTTACTTCAGGTAAGGTGTCGTTCCCACCTTCCCTCCTCGCAGCAGTTCTCCAGGGCTTACAACAACATGGCACACCGGGCCTGAAATCATACCTGCACAGTGTGTTTGCCGCCGGTGTTGGCTGTGTAGTCGACACGGTAGATACCGGGAGATTGCTCCTTGATGTCGGTACGTATCTTGTTGTGTCCTTCATCCATAACCTGCCGCATAAAGTGTGCCGGTCCAGGTTATTTCCACCTGAGCTCTTCTTGACATGGCAATCTTTCAAGAGGCGAAGATCACTTCTCACTATTTGCGGACACGGTACCCAGCACCCGTGTCTCCAGTCCTCAATAGCTCCTGATCGGCAGCTGCCATTCTCGCCTGACGGAGGCCGGCAGGCCCGAGTGCGGGCCAGTCCGCGGAGCTGCTGCGCAGGCCGGCAGGCCCGCGTGCTGGCAAGTCAGCGGAGCTGCTGCGCAGGCCGGCAGGCCCGAGTACGGACCAGCCAGCGGAGCGCTGCTGGCACCGCCGGTCCCCCGCGGAGGCCGGTAGGCTCGAGTGCGGGCCAGCCAGCGGAGCTGCTGCGCAGGCCGGCGGGTCTGAGTGCGGGCCAGCCAGCGGACCGCTGCTGGCGCCGCCAGGCCCCCGCGGAGGCCAGTAGGCCCGAGTGCGGGTCAGCCGGCCGAGCGCTGCTGGCGCCGCCGGTCCCCCTTACCGTCACGTTGAGGGCGCCGCTGCCAGCCGAGCTGGTGTCCACCGTGAAGTGGGTGCTCTCGCCGGCCGTCACGCCCTCTGGCTGCACCCCGGGCCCCGTCACCGTCACCTGCACACGCCACGAGAATCAGAACAAGCCGGCTGCAGCCTGGACAGCCCCCAGTCATCTGGTTCAGTCTGCTCGAGAGCCTCAGACTCAGCTTCACTCCTCATTACAGCATGCTGTGGACACTTTCAAGGAGACTGATAATGTCTCGCAACACGATTTCAGACGCCCTCAATGTAGGACAATCGCAGAATATTTATACCGCGATGCATTGCATGTTTTTAAACCCAAATCTGACCTGAACAATGCCAGGGGCATGGTTTGCCCCAGGACCATCCCGTATCTCTCTGGTGGCGCGTGGTGTTCTGCTGACCTTTCTGGCGTCGCCATCTGTGCGTGGCACGATCTGCGCCATCCAGGGCGAGCGCGGGATGTCCTCCGTCGCGCAGAGCACGTGCACGGCGTACTCGCCGGGCACCGTCGGCACGTACGTGACGTCCGCCGAGCCGTCACCGTTGTCTCGGCACTGAATCTGCGTCTGCGACGGCCCCTCGATGCTGAATCCCAGCGCGCCCGTCTCGCCATTCGTCTCCACGGTGAAGACGGCCGGCGCGTGCGCTACGCCGCCCTTCAGGCCGGGTCCGTAACATCGGATTGCCGACTCCTGCAATAGGTGGCAGCACTGTCCGTCATCAGAGTTCGGCTCGCCGTCGCTGGAGATGCGGGCGGCGGCGCGGCACGCCGGTTGATGTGGACGGTGACAGTGCGCGTCGAAATGACGCATTCTTCTGCCGCCAAGAGCGATAACCAATGTCCCGCGATCATGAGTCACCCGCTCTGACAGGGCACTCTGAGTTGTAGCGCAGCATATCCAGAGCAGCGCCCCAGGCGACTGATCGACCGAGCCGCCGGCTCTGACGACGACCACTGCGCGTGATCAAGATACACACGGCGCCGCCGAGCCGTCTGTCTCGGAGGGCTTTAAGGACGGCGCCCTCCGACAGGGACCAGCCGTCGTGCGATGTCCGACACCTTCGCCGCCCTGCCGAGATATCACGCACCTTTGCTGACTCGACTGAGATGTCACGCACCTTCGCCGGCTCGACGGCTATGTCACGCACCTTCGCCGGCTCGACTGAGATGTCACGCACCTGTCCCCCCCCCCCTCACTGAGATATCACGCACATTTGCCGGCTCGACGGATATGTCACGCACCTTTGCCGGCTCGACGGATATGTCACGCACCTCTGCCGGCTCGGCTAAGATGTCACGCACCTTTGCCGGCTCGACGGATATGTCACGCACCTGCCCCCCCCTCCCCCCCCCCCCCACTGAGATGTCACGCACCTTTGCCGGCCCGACGTTGATTTCAAACGGCGACCTGGGAATCTCGTGACCGCCGAAGGTGATCATGACGATGTAGCGGCCCTCCCGCTGAGGATAGTACACGCCTTCATACACACCGTCCTCCACCTCTCTAAGGTGTGCCGATTCGTTAGCGCCACCTGCAAGGCGACCAACGTATGTAAAATCATCCGTGACGGCTCCGGTCAGAAGACTAAAGCTCATGGTTTAGGGCCATTGCCGCGGGGGAGGAGGAGGGGTGACGGAAGTCTCCCTGAGCCTCATGTGCTCTGCATCGACGCACTATTGTCCATGGACTAAGACTTCGACATTCACTTACTGTGATCCATCCACCTAGCACACGTGGTTAAAGTTACACCCCTCCTCCATTTCCTTTTGCCTTCAAACGCCGTGGCTACACTTTTGTTCCTCGTGAGCTTTTACCGGTGCATTTCAACCAAACAACAGCTAAGAAGCACGCCGCAAATCGTGACACGTAACGCGCGGCCGATCACAAACACACCCGGAAGACATGTATGATGATGAGATGCATGTGCGATGGGACTTTCATTTTGGTCTAGATATTGGCCTAGACATTCGTTTCAACCTGTAAAACAAGCATGCTCTCCTCAGTAATGACTTTGCCCGATTAGACCTCGATCGGCGCTGACCGTAGTCATCCGGCCGAGGGGAGACTCTGACCTGGTTCGATGACGCGCAGCCGACCTGACCTGACCTGACTGATCTCCCCCTGACCTGGTCCGATGACGCGCAGCTGCAGCTGTCCGTCGCCGGCGCCGTCTGTCCAGACGCGAAAGTCGGCCGTGTCGCCCACCCGGACACCGTGTCCCTGCAGCCCGCGACCCGTCACCCGCACCCGACGAGGCTCACATGCTGAGGGGAGCGGGAGCGAAGGCGGGTCAGGGGGGAGGGTCGTCACCCGCACCCGACGAGGCTCAAACGCTGAGGGGAGCAGGAGCGAAGGCGGGTCAGGGGAGAGGGCTGCCACCCGCACCCGACGAGGCTCACACGCTGAGGGGAGCAGGAGCACAGACAGGTCAGGGGAGAGGGCTGCCACCCGCACCCGACGAGGCTCACACGCTGAGGGGAGCAGGAGTGCAGGCGGGTCAGGGGAGAGGGTTGTCACCCGCACCCGACGAGGCTCACACGCTGAGGGGAGCAGGAGTGCAGGCGGGTCAGGGGAGAGGGTTGTCACCCGCACCCGACGAGGCTCACACGCTGAGGGGAGCAGGAGTGCAGGCGGGTCAGGGGAGAGGGTTGTCACCCGCACCCGACGAGGCTCACACGCTGAGGGGAGCAGGAGTGCAGGTGGGTCAGGGGAGAGGGTCGTCAGCCGCACCCGACGAGGTTTACATGCTGAGGGGTAACAGCAAGGGCTCGGCAGAGAAGCCGTCACATGTTTGTAACCGGTAAACGCGGGCTTTTGCATGGAGCCACGTTCACTCGCCATTTTGAGAAGAGGTCCTCGTTGGCTGTTAAAATGGTATTTTGCTTGCGCAGCTACAAAAAAGGACATCCATAGGGTCAGCTAACCGTGATTTTCTGCATCTTACTTGCATAACGCCTCAATGACAAATATATATTTTTTGTAAAAACCGACAAAGCATTTCAAAAAAGCAATGCGAGAATACGTCATGTTAGGTCGTTGCTCCGTACACGACACAAAATTATCCCTCAGTGCCGCACGTCTCGTGACGTCAGCTGCGAGAATCGGTCTGAGGCCCACGTGAGGCTGGCGCTCGTCCGTCCCTGGCTCAGCGCGTTGGTGCTGAGTGCAGCTGACCTGGGCCGACCCGGACGGCGCGGGGGCAGCCGGGGATCGGCCGCCCTGCGAACAGCACGTCCACCGAGTGTTGGCCCAGCCGCTGGGCGGTGTAGTCGCAGCGCCAGCGGCCGGGCTCCACCCGGCCCAGCCGCAGCGCCGAGGCGGGGCTGTTGCTGCCCTTCGGGTCCAGCAGCACTACCTCCGGCGTGCCCCGGCCGGCACCTGGCGGACCGGCGCTCAGTTAGTCACACACTCGCACTGGCGTCCACGCTCTCAGATGTAAGGAGGGGCCATGCCAACACTAACAGCCTCACGTCGCGTGCGGAAAGAAGGAAAGACCCTATCCTATCCACCCTATCGGAAAGAGGCCGGTTGTTCGATCTTAAAATGTTTAATCAGTGCATTAAAGCCTCAAAAAAGGCGACGGAGCACTGTTTCGTGAAGCTTTAATACATTACAGCTGAATAATGAGTCTTTCCAAAATTGATTCACACTTACAAGTGGATATTTATGAAAGGAAAACACAAAATTTCAGCAGCGCACGGTGGCAGCCTTGTTAAGCTGTATTTCAACGTGATACAAGTTATCGTGCGCGAAGATTCAGTAGAATTCATGCGCCATGCATGACTGATTGACCTCTCCTTTTGCCAGAAGCTATTACCTCAAGGCTCTTGGGGCTAATTCGATGCCTAAAACACACATCACAAGATGCGCGCTCACTGCATGTGGTTGCACATGTAAACCTAGAATGCACGTGCTGGTTAACACGGACGTGAGCAGCCTGAGCCGTGCCTTCGGTGAAGATGTCGAAGAACGTCGGCTTTCCAACAACGACCCCGTTGGGCTCCAGGCCTGGGCCCGACGCCGTGACCTTGCCCGGGTCGCCGGCGAACCCCTCGACGTCGACGGCGAATGGCGAGCAGGGCAGCTGGCGGCCCCTGAACAGCACCATGACCAGGTGACGGCCCTCGGCCGTCGGGGTGTACCGGCAGCTGTACGTCAGCCTCCGGTCGCCGCTGAACTGGGCGTCGATCTGCGGTGAGACGGAGTGACACGTTAGTCTCCGGTCGCCGCTGAAATCCGCGTCGATTTGCGGCGAGGCGGCTGACGCGTCTCAGCGCCGGCTCGGGCGCCGTCTGCTGCAGAGGCCGCAATTGGTGGCGCCCCTGCGCAAGCCTGTCGTCTGCCCGCACACGGTGGGCAACCCACAGCGTGCAGCTGTCTTTACGAGATTGGAGACCCACAAGAACTGCGGCCAGTTTAAGAAAGCCAATCCCTTGGCGCTAGACAAAGTCTGCTTCATATGAGCTAGGCCATTTGTCACTCATGTAGTTTCTAAGGTGCATGCTCAGCATGCTCAGCATGGCTATGCCCAGAAACTGTGCGAGTGTAAAGGTTTCATGGGCAGAAGTTTAACACTGAGCTTTCAGGCTAAAACCTAATGTCTACAATGGCCCGGCAACGTATCCTTGATCATCCATCCTAATCCTGCTCAGTTTCCAAACCTTGCCCAGCCAAGGACACTTGAGGTTCGCGGCGTAGAGAATAAGCTTTTTGACAACTACATCGTTACCCTGGAACCACTATATAAAACCAATAAACCGTTCTGTTGTGTGTTGGTCTGAGTCTCTTGTCTCTGCGAAAGCTAGCGACTCTCCTTCTCCTGACTCCGCGACCGACGGCCACAGGTCGATGGAGTGAGACTCCGCTCACCGGCTCTGGCTGCCCTCCCGGTCGCACCAGCTGACACTCGACCTTGCCCTGACCGGCCGAGAACGTCTCCACTGTGAAGAAGGTGGGAGCGCCCACCACCACACCGGTCGGCTCCACACCGGCGCCGTAACATCTCACCCTGTGCGCAGGTCAGGCCAGATCAGGTCGTCAGAGAAACACCATATTATGCAGTACAGAGCACCCATGGCCAGGAGAACACGTCATCAGCGGGCAGATCAGGGCGACCGCGCCCTGGAGCACACGTCAGGTCAGGGCGACACCGCATCCTGCTGCACAGGTCGGCTCAGGACAGCGTGGCTCCTAGCAGCACATGTCAGCCTGACGTAACACCACACCAGGACTTGCACCGCATCATGCGGTGTAGGTCATGTTCAGGTCATTCTTGTAGCTCTACATGCCATGGGACATGCCAGGTCAGGTTCGCAGGAAGAAAATACCATTTAGCATAGACCAAAACACAGGTGAAGGCAACTGCACCCCGGAGCACAAGTCAGGTCACGATCACTGCACTAAGCCGAATCCGGAATTCACGGTAGCGCCTTCACGGTAGCGCCTTACCCTCCACAACAGTTCAGGTTAAGGCAATGACGTGTCCTGTGCTTCAGCTCAAGTTAGGTTATCTTTGCGATAGCATGCAGTAGGGGATGAGTGGGGGGCAGCATTTAGAAAATATGTTCTTCAATACGTCATTGTTTGATTGCGTCATCGTATTTTGCGCAACATGGATTGAGAGCCAATTGACGGCTAGTACATCGGGAAGTCGTGCTCATAAACTCCGGATATGAACTACTCGACCAATATATATTTCTTATAAATCTTGATCGCCGCATGGCCAATTGAACGTAAGAATTTAAATGACGTATTATGACATCATCGATATCTGGGTGACCTTGAAATAGTTTGTGCGAAATAGACTATACACCTTCGCGGATAAAAATGTGGAATATCTCCTTTAACATACCCAAAGTTTGTAAGTGTAACATAGTGCAGATATTATTCCTCAGTGATGCTTAGCATACACAACAGCACCAGTTCACATTATGTAATGTTTCCGCGATGCGTCAACTTAGCACAACGCGCTGGAAAAGCTGCGGTTCTTCATAAGCAGAACTGCTTGTGAAGTCTTGCAGCTCTGCATGTTGTGAAGCATTGCAGCTTTGCATGTCAATGCGAATGTTTCACATTTGAAGACACTGGAGCAAGCATCAGATATGATGAGACAAGCTCACTTACAACTACTGGTATATTTTGTGAGTGGAAAAGACTGTTCTAGACAGCACAATGCTCTGCTCAGTAAATATGCTCCTCAATGCGTCACGGTTTGACTACGTCATCGCTCCTTCCACAGCATTGATTGAGAGCCAATTGACGGCTGCTGTACGTGGAAACCGTGCTCACGAACGCCAGGTATAAACGCTTCGGCAATTATATTTTTCTTGGCTTTGATTCCCGCGTGGATTATCGAGTGGCATTGTTTGAATGACGTTATTACGACGTTATGAATGCCAAGGTGGCTTTAAATTCTCTCCCAGATATACCTTTCCCTATTTTCGTGGGCGTTTGGCTCAGAACCTAGACGGGCTTCGGTCTTCAGAACGCAGAATTCGAACGTCACCGAAAGGTCTCCAAGATGGCTGTTTCAGTTCAAAACACTATATAATGTGAAACACTTCCTTTTGAATGGCAGCATCAAAGATGCAGAAGCTAACAGCTGCAGCTGGTTTCAGATGAATGATGACTAGCCGAGCCATTCCGTGTGTGAGAGGTTTACGCTCTGTGAACTTTGTGCGCGCCATTTAGCCCATATCTTGAACCCGATGGTATGGAATTCTTTGAAGCTGCTGACAGTTGATAAAGCTGTTAAAACAACAAACTTTGGTTGTTGCTGCAGCTTCTGGGTTGCATACATTGCAAGATAAACAATTGACTGTCGTGCTATACATATGAGCTACAAGCTTTTACCTGACAACACTTAACAAACTTTTCGCCTTCCAGCACAGGTTAGGCACGAACAATTCAGCGACCTGTTCGCCAGATGCATTGCATGATTTCGTGCCTCCAGCGGTCTATCTTTCAGGCACGCTAGTTCAGTCAGAAGGCGGATCTCCACAGCCTGCAAGCGACGGGTGCTGCCTAAAAAACGCTCCTTCAGTTAATGCAACTTGACCGTGATGAAACTGAGCCTGTGAAGTACTATTAATGACTGGTGAAATGGGTCCTCCGGGAGGCACGTGGTTAAACCAATCGCGGAATGGGAGCCGGGCTGTGGCCGCTGGTGCTGCAGGGGGCGCGGTGTTGCTGAGAGGCCTGGGGCGGAGTACAGAGGGGTAGCGTCAGTGATGGGGTGAGGTGGCGCGCGCTGCAGCGCTGGCAGGGACGGGAGTAGCACCAGTGATGGGGTGAGGTAGCGCGTGCTACAGCGCTGGGAGGGACGGGAGTAGCTCCAGCGATGGTGTGATGTGGCGCGCGCTGCAGTGCTGGCTGGGACGGGAGTCGCACGGGCGACTGGGGCCGCCGAGGCACCTTCGGCAGTCCCCACCTGTCGGATCCCCTCGCCCCGAGTACAGTTAACACGCGCCCGGGTGGCCGACTGGACACCATTCGCTCGGGTGGGGGTTAATTTGACTCCCCTAAGATCTCAGAATCTAAGGAAGCTAGAGACGCTAAATTTACAGGATGTGTTGGCCTGTATGTGAACTCACTTAGCTCAAAATTTGGGGCTTTTAGGTCATGACCTTGCGGTCAAATAAGGTCCAAAAACGTCAAACTCAAGATTGGTCTCCAAAGTGCCCCGGAACCTATATACATGTTCTAAGCAAAAGGTCACATGCTGATTTGACCTTTTTGTGACCATGTGACAGTGACCTTTGTTGACCTTTTGAAAGTCATGGTGACCAAAATCATACAAGGCTGCTTGGAGTTTTGTGTTTGAATAAGCGACAAAAATAATTGTTGCAGCATGTTCCTAGAAACAAAATGTTGACCTGGGTCATTTTAGGTCAATGACTTATTCTGACCTTCGAGAAGTCCATGTAGGATTATAATGTGGATCCTGCTACCAATAAATGTAAAGTGAGTACCTGAGGCTACCCCGTACAGCAAGCCCTGAAGTAATAAATAGAATGGTTTTGACTTTGGTCTGACCTTTGTACCTGACCCCAAGTCAATGGAACCTGCTCGTTAAATTGCTGTGTTGCCTAAGAAAGTATTTCAGATATATATATATATATATATATATATATATATATATATATATGGTTTTGTCCAGCACTCTGCTGTTGCATTAGATCGAACGATTCCCTTGAAATTGACTTCGCTGAATCCATGGGTTGACTTTGATCTGCCGTAGACCAGTGACCTAACATGGTATATCTAGAGTTCTAATACCAAACCATCCGCTTTTCAATTGTCTGCAGCTATGCAAAATTTGGCGCGACTGCGCCGAGTCGTTCGGAAACCATCTGGAAAAACCTCCGGGGGGGCAATTTGACCCTCACCATGTTAACTCCTGCTGGCGTATGCATCTCAGGAGGGTGTGGCTTCCAACCCTCCCCCCCCCCCCCAGGTCTAGACAGCCCACCTGTCTCCGAGATCGAAGCTGTGTTCCTCCACGTTCATATCATTTTCGGATGCAGGAAAATGTATCCATCAGCCGAAACTAGCATAAACTGATGGCTGGTGGCGCGCCCAGTGTACGCAACCCCCGGTCAACTGCCGGGGTGGAAAACCGCGGCGCTTTACAGGCCCAGCCAAGAGACAAACTAGGCTCCTTGTCTAATGTTATCATCATGGATGTTTCACGACTGGTATAGGCTGAGGAAGGCAGGCGGATTTCCTTTCTCTCCCTGCGGTTACCAGACTGAGGCCAGTCAGTGAAGTTATCAACAGGAGACAGCCACTCGCAGACGGGTATGTTTACACCAAAGGTGCGCTGCTGCCCAATGTTTGCTAGTGACGGGGAATGAAACAGTGCCGTCTGGCCGTACGCGGACACACAGGCCGCTGCTCCTTACGCGCGTAAATGGATTTACAGACCACTGCTCCTCTGATGCCTGGGTTATGCTCCCGCAGCCAGAGCCATGCCCGGCTTCTGCGCCCGGTACTGCTCCGCCCGCCGTCTGCGGGTGGGGGGGGGGGGGATCACGTGACGCCGGACCACGGAGACGGCCAGCGCAGACGCGGCGCGAGGGCTCGCTGCGCTTGTTTGTGTTGTGAGGTGAGCGGTGGGCCGGCTGAGGGTGGGGCGGCACACCCTCCGGGACCCTTGGTCTCCACACTTCAAACGGGCAGACTCACGCTCGGGCGGTGGTGGGTCCGGCCGCCGCCAGTGTGATGCTCATATGCAGTTCACTCGACGGGCCCTCACCGCCAGACAGGAGACGACGGGAGACTACGGGAGGCTACAGAAAACTTCACGGAGAAACTCTCCAGAGCTTGTCATTAGACTTATTCTTCTACAAGGTATCTTGATGATCTCAGAAACAGTACATTAAAGGAACCTTTCGTCAATGTTTCTCCTCTTCGGTGTTCCCCCTGTGAAGCAAGTGACCGTGGTAGGGCTGGTCTTGCACTGTTCTTGATGCGGCCTGTCGTCGCGGCATGATTGATGAGACTGGCCGTCGTGTGAGGTCGGATTCTGTGTTGGCTATAGTGAGTTATAGTGAGCTATGGTGAGCTATGGTGAGCAATATGGTGCTGATATGCGGGCTACGCTGTGGCTGACCCATTCAAGTATGTGTGGATTGTATGTGGTTATGCCTGATCTGATCATGCCTCAAACACGGTCATGATTATATCCCTTTTAGTGGCATATGCAAGCTACCAAAAGATGTGCAGACATAGATGAAATGGAAGTGACATATTGCAGTTAAAATTTCAAGACGATATGCCATTTGGCTCTCGCTACAGCGGGTCGACTTGCTTGCAATACAAGGTTTATTATTGTTATATGTTTCTGTTGTTTCCTACTCAGTTTTGTTGTTCACTAACAGGTGAAGATACAGCCAGTACTTTGTCAGGCGTTATTTGTCTTTGTTGTGAACACGATTCTGCAATGTGTGACCTTTCTTAAGTATATTATGCACAAATGTTCTTAACGGCCTAGTACAACACTGCACT